GTCATAATAAAAAAAATAAGCTAAGAGGTATTATTATTATTGCTACTAGACATGTAAGCTACAGAGAAATGCGGTTTTGGTTCGGATATTTCATTATTTTGGGATTCGGATCCAAAATTCAATTCGGTTTGGGCTTCGGATTTGGACGAAATCCGAATTTTCGTTAGTTTCGGATGAGTTTACGAATATTCGTTGCGAATACCACAGAAAACCATATACAGATATTTTTACTAAAGCTGCATTGAAGTCTGCAGTGCCATTGACTTCAATGCACCACCACACCCCCTCCTGCCCCCAAAACACAGTGAGCCGGCCAGAATGTGATCCAGTGCGTTCCGGCACCAATCTGGCCGGAACGCACTGGGGCTGGTGTGAACTAACCCTCAGTAAAAGAAAATCTGACAAATGTTCTGAAAACTATTTTATTTTTAAGAAATTGTAGTGTATGGCTAATTGAAGAAAAAGAGAGTAGAAAAAGGAAGGGGGAAAAAAGGGGTGGGGGAAGAAGCAAAAGAAGATAAGAGAATGGTTTAAGATAACTGGTTGTATGAAAAGAAACAAAATTTCTGGTACTCATTAGTGAATTAAAGTCTGACATAAGAATGCGTTTGAGGGTGTAACAGTGAAAGTTACATGTCAGCGTGATCAGAGTTCTCCGAATTTTTCTCTCATCCATATGCCATCAAAAAGAGGAGTATCCGTATCCTTAATATAAAACCGTATAGTCAAAGCGCCAGACTGGCTGAGTTTTAAGCTAAGCCATAAGGGCCATAATGTTGTCCCAGTCATAGAGGAATAGTACATCCAGGTGGACTATATATTATAGAGTTTGTCATTTCTCTTGAGACGTGAACACCCTCCCTTTAGCCCCTATAATCTTAACCACTTCCACCTTCCACTCTGATATAGTTGGACACTTTTCTTGCTTCCAAAATTATAAAATAAGGCATTTGGTGGCGTTTGGTAAATGTGAAGTGACACTATTTTAGTCTGATTTAATGAAGGAGTGAGAATCATGAAGCAGGAACTGGAAAGGATTAAACTTAAAGTGACATTAAAGGATAAATTGTTTCCCCTCCCCCCAATGTTATTTAAAGGAGAACTATGGGGTTAAGACTTTTCCCCATAGTTCTCCTTAGGGTAACGGGAGGACACAAACTAGCTCAGCTGTAGCTCGCGGTATACTGAGACGCCACAGTATACCGCGAGCTGCTGCTCGCGGTATACTAAGACGCCGCAGCTGAAGCGGATACCGACAATTGTGCCGGGATCCGCCCAGCTGCGTGACTGACAGCTGGCTCTGCCTATCTAGAGGCAGAGCCAGCTGTACCCGCCCCCTCCCCCGTCCGTTCCGCCAGTCAGCGCTGGTGGATCGGAGCGGGGGGAATCCAGCCCCTCCCCTGTCACGGCAGAGAGCCGTGACAGGATCGAGAGGTGAGCGAACGCCGGTATATGTTCGCTCACCTCCCGATCTACTGAGCCGACCTGTGACAGTCTCATTGTCACAGGTCGGCTAGAACAATGAGGTGAGTGAAAAGCACTCACCTAATAGTTCTCCTTCAAAGCACTTACCTTAAATGATGTCTCTTAATCCGATCCTCTTCTTTCCTGTCCTTTTCAGCCTTCTCTCCAGAGCTGCGGCGGGTGTCCGATCCAGCGCTGACTCCTCTGTCCTTGCTGGCACTTCCTGTCCCATGGTGTCTGCATGCGGGTGCACGCGTCCATAGACTTACCTTGCGTCTCTCCTTGTCTCCCGGCCGAAAATCCGAACTGCGCATGCGCCCGCCAAAGCAGTTTGGGATTCTCGGACGGGAGCGTGCGGCAAAGACAGGGGTAAGTTTAAACCGCTTTTAAAGCGTTTTTTTTTTTTCAAACTTTTTGCATATATCTACAGGATGGTTTAGAAACCCTTTGATGGTAGACTTCTGTGTCCAAAGTGATATATAGATTACAAAAATGTTTGATCCTTGCGACATGTCCATCAAATATGGAGAAAGGAGCCATCTTGTGAGCATCCTCTCCAGCACCTGGAGGAAGAACCCAGATACATAAAGACCAGCTGAGAGGGAATCTTATACCACCTTGACAAAAAAAAAGGTTGAAAAAATATTTTTAAAATGTAAATAAATAGTAAAATTTAAAAAGAAAGATTTAAAAAAACAACAAAAAAAACAATAAAAAAAAATTTGGGCAGAGCTAGCAGTGACAGCTAGCTCCGCCCAACTGTTTCCTATTGGCCGGCACCTGTTAGAGTCTTCTATAGTGAATAGCCCGTACAGCAGCCCTTCGGTTCGACTGAACCGAAGGGCTCCCGAAGCAAGCCGAAGGATCAGCCAAAGCTACGGCTGGATCCTCCGGCTCCTTCATGAATAACCCCCCCAAGTGTGAGCTACTATTTAGACAAAGATAAAGACTTTAAGCTGACCTGCAGGCACAATTTGTACTTCTACCCAATTCTGAACTGGTATAATCCTCTTGCTATCCCCTTTACAGCAGAAATCAGACTGGTAGTGGGAAAAGAAGAACACAAAGTCAATCAGTTTTCCTTCAGTGCAAAAAGCATGCTGCTAACGGGAGAAAGCAAAGAGATGAAATCATGTGTTTGCTGCTTCTTCTTCACTGTCCAGTCACATAATTGGGGAGGGACAAGACGTTTAAGTGTTATCTAACTACAGCAGAGAAAAATCAAGTATCCTGCCCTGCCAGACAGAGCTGTACTATGTGGTAGAGCTGTGTACATCTCGGAACTGAAACCACATAAATACAAACCTTTTTGCAAGTAAAACGACTCTTATATATGTTTTTATCTGCGTGATTACCTGTTTGCCTGGAGTTCTGCTTTAAAAAAAAATGTATCTAATGATTTATTCAATAATCACAATATGATGCTAAAGGCCACCAAGCTCTGAGCTAATGATATTGGCAAACTATTAGAGGTTACTTAACAACACATTAACCACTTATCAGATCTTTACTGATCAGATCTTTCCTGACTACCAGGAATAGGGAGATAAGGAAGAGAACAGTAGAGAAGATTGCTTCCGAGCAGAGGTCCATGAAACAGATGACTTCTGATTGGTCGCTATGGGTTTTCTGCACACATTCTTCCTTGTACATTCTTTGCTGGCTGTATTTTTTTTACATACCCTTGCCTAAGTGAGTTACACACACTAACACACAAACCCTGCAGGCTTGAGCAGGAGCCTTCTGTGAGTGACAATGGACTGGATACTGCAATGAGTGACAATTGATACACTGAGTCTCCTGCACTAGGTATAGGGGTATACAGAGGAACATTAGAAGTGTCAGCTGGGGACACTGTGTGACTCAGAGACACAAGCTGACTGACAGCAGCATTTATTGAAATAAAGTGACAGCAAAGGGAAAGAAGGGAGAGAAGGGGAAGGGAGAGAGAGAAAAAAGAGAGAGACAACAAGCAAATGAGAAGAGAGAGACTTAGTAGAGATAGAGAAAAGTAGCTATATCAAGAAAAGGGTGAGAGAAAAGGAGGGAAATGAAGAGAACAGAAGAGGGAGCTTGAGAACAGGAAAGATAGAGGAGAGAGGTGAGAGAGAAGAAAGGGGGAAAAAAGGAATAAAGCTGAAAAAGAACAGAGGATGGAGGAGATAGATATATTAATAGCAGGGGAGGTACATGAAGAAACAATGGAGGATTAGAGAAGAATATAAGATAGACTGAGAAAAGGGGATATGAAGGTAGAAGAAAATAAAGAATAGAGGAAGAAAGAAGGATAGAAGAGTAACGGAGAAAATGGGAGATGAGGGAAGGAGCAAAGAGAGAATAGAGGAAGAGAGAAAACCAGAAAACAGACTGAGAACAGGGGATATTCAGGGAGGTGCAAAGAAATAATAGAGGAGGAGAAAATGATAGAAGATTGAAAACATGGAAGATGAAAGAAGGAGCAAAGAATGAATAGGGGCCAGAGAAGGATAGAAGATAGATTGAGGACAAGGGAGATCCAGGAAGGAGCCACGAGAGAAAGGTTGAAGACAGATTAAGAACTAAGGAGGAAGAGGAAGGTGCAAAGGAAGAATAGAGGATGAGAGTAGAATAGAAGATAGACTGAGAACTAGGAGAGGTGAAGGAAGGAGGAAAGAAAGAATAGAGGAAGAGAGAAGGATAGAAGAAAGACTAAGAGCAGGGGAAGTGAAGGAAGGAGCAAATAAAGAATAGAGTAAGAGAAAAGGATAGAAGAAAGACTAAGAACAGGGGAAGTGAAGGAAGCAGCACAGAAGGAATAGAGGAAGTGGGGATAGAAGAAATACTGGAGGAGGGAGCAAAGAAAGAATAGAGGAAGCAAAAAGGATAGAAGGTAGATGGAGAACAGGGAAGATGAAGGAAGGAGCAAAGAAAGAATAGAGGAAAACAGAAAGATAGGAGACAGATTAGTGAGATACAGGAAGGTGTAAAGAAAAAAGAGGGGACCAGAGAAGGATAAAAGAGAGATTGAGAACAGGCGAGATCTGGGAAGGACCAAAGAAAGAATAGAGGGATAGAGAAAGATAGAAGAAAGACTAAGAACAGAGGGGATGAAGGAAATAGCAAAGAAAGAATAGAGGGGTAGAGAAGGATAGAAGATAAACTGAGAACAGGGGATATGAAGGCAGGAGCAAATAAATAATAGGGGGATAGAAGAAAGACTAAGAACAGGGGAGATCTGGGAAGGAGCAAAGAAAGAATAGGGGGATAGAGAAGGATAGAAGAGTGACAAATACATACAACCAAAAAGAGAGTCTGTACAGAGATACAGAGAGGGGGAGAAGACAGGGGAGAGAAGACAGACAGCAGCAAGAGGCAGACAGAAAGAGAAATAAGTCAGAGGAGAGCTTTCCTTCCTTGAATAATTCACTGGCTCTGACTAATTAAAAGTTCCCTCACTCTTCTCCGCAATTAACCCTTTCCTGCACACACCCCCCTCCCTTCCAGCCCCTTGGAGCTGCCGAGCCTGTACGTCTCCTGCCAGTGTCAGTGTGTGTGGCAGGCAGGCAGGCAGAGAGGAGGGGTGCCCGTGCACAGGGTGAGTGAGGGTGCCTCCGCTGCTGGGTGTTGCACTATCTCTCTGCTCCATCACCAGCAGCAGCATCACTCCCTGGTTGTGGTTGCTAAGGAAACGGCCGCATGGCAACCGGCTGAGAGCCTGGGGGCCGTGTGTGCTGCCGCAGCTGCCTTGCCTTGCTCATTCTCCAGCAAGCAGCAGCAGCTCGTCCTGCACTACTCCTCCTCCTCCTCCCGTCCTTCCTCCTCCTGCTCTGCCAGGGATCCCAGGCTGACAGGGGCAGCCCCAGCAGTGATGGACATGATGATGTTGGTGCAGGGTGCTGCTTGCTGCTCAAACCAGTGGCTGGCCGCTGTCATCCTCAGTGTGTGCTGTCTGCTGCCCTCCTGCCTGCCCGCCGGACAGGGCATGGACTACTCCTGGCCCGCAGTGGACAACCTGGTCGTCAGGCAAGGAGAGACAGCCATGCTTAGGTAGGAAGCCTCCGTGCCCAGCCATGGGGGTGTCATGCTGTTTTTGTCTATCTGTGTGTCTCTATTTTTGTATTTGTCACCGTGCATCCTTTTGTATGTTCATGTTTTGCTGTTATTGCACTTTAATGGGACCTGCGCCACCTTTGCGCTCCTTTTGCGCCACCGTTGCGCCCAGCCTTTGGCATTGGGGGGCTCTTTGCACTCTGCACGGGATCTGCCTGCTCCGCACAGTCACACATACTGCTACTTTTTTTCCTGTCTGTTGAGCCTGTGGATGATTCAGGTTTGTTTATCATGGACATGTCTGTGCAGAGAGGTAGGGGGAGCTCTGTGGATGGGAAAAGAGTGCAAGTTGTGTAACTGATACTGAGAGCTTACAAGCTAGGCTGGGAACTGATGGTGGGGTTGGGATGAAAGAGGGGGGTGTTGTGTACCCTGAGCAGGGTTTGGGCATCCTCCATGGATGGGTGTCTTGTTTTTTATTCAACCTATGTAACCATGAATAGGTGCTGCCAAAAAAAAAAAAAAAAACAAGGCGTGCAAAGGATTAACAAGCATGCCCATGGCTGGCCGGTCGACTCAATGGGTGCTAAAGGCACCCAGGATGTGCAAAAGGCGCTCGCCCGTGTCCGCCTGCTGGCTTGGCGCTGTTGGATCAGTTCAGCTGCGTCGCTACGTTCTACTGCGCCTGCCCTGTGCGTGCCTTGCGGGACTGTGACCCCACACTAACCACTCCGCAGCCCCCTTTTTCATCGCCTTAGATGCTGTAAAAGCTGAATTTGGATTGGCTGCGATGCCACCTAAGCCCCCCTTTCCGTCCTTTGAACCGTCTCGTTGCCGTGCGTAGTTTTTCAGGTTTTACCCAGCTCCTGAAAGGGTTAAACAGTCCGCAGCCCCCTTTCCATTGCCCCGGCCGCTGCTGTACACCGGTGAAAGTTGAATTTGGATTGACTGTGATGCCACCTAAGCCCCCCCTGTCCTTGGCACCATCTTGTTGCTGTGCATTGGATTTCAGGTTTTACCCGGCTGCTGAAAGGGTTAAACAGTACAGGGCTCCACAGCCCCCCCGTTCGATTGCCCCGACCGTTACTGTACACCAATGAATGTTGAATTCCGGTTGGCTGCGATGCCAAGGGTTAACCGGTTGACTACGGTGACAGCATCCACACCTTTGGGAGCGAATAATATGTGTTAGCATGCTCCCTGCCACCCCCCCCCACTCAGTCTTGTGACTGCACCCCCAGTGGTAACATGACCACCTATGGAGCTGTTTGTGCATCCACTGGCCAGCACTGGGTTAGTTTCCCCCCTCTAGGACCATAGTCATTAGGATGCTTTGCTTACTGCTACCCAAAAAAATGGCAAAATTCTGAATTCCAAAGGTTTTGTGCCATGGGAAGCCGGTGTCCTTTCACAGTCTTAGAAGTTTCCTGAATTGGATTGTGTTGGCAATACAGAATTTTGCTATTTTTTTTTTTGTATAGACCAAATTGTGGAATTGCGTTGCAGTTGTGCCATGCAGGAGCCCCTCTGGTCACTGTGGTGCTGCACAAGTACCCCCTCGAAGGTGGTGTTGTTGCCTAAGAGCGTTAAAGCCTTCTTAGCCCTGAGCCAGTCTTCTCCAGACTTTAATGAGACGACATAAAGCTATGATGATCATTAGCTTGCAGGACTTAACATCGCTGATGAGATTAGATCTCCATTTATTAGCCCAGGTAGCAGAAGAATTCCCCTGGGCTCTCAGAATTTAAAACAGCATAAGCCTTAACAAATGTGAGCGCGCCTAATACGTCCTGTGCATGTGCTATTTATTTAAGTGCGTGCCTGCATGTTAGTGCGTAGCTCCCCTTTGGAGCCTCTAGCTACCCCTTGACTGGTACAGTGAAGATATGTGTCACTGTTACCGGGTTCTTCGTGTTGACTTAACCCATTTGTGATCCAGGCCCTCTGCAGATGGGCAGATGTCATTGGGTGATGACTGAAACCGCCTGGCCCCCCGAGGGCTGGGCACCTTCTGCAACTTTTTTTTTTTTTGCTCTCGGCTCTGTGCAACCTTAAGCTTGGAGCATGCACGGCGAAAGAATGATTGCCTTGTTCTCTTTTGGGAAAACACAAATCATTCACCCCTTATAGCTTTCATTAAACGCCTGTGACGACCCCACAGTTGCTTCTGCCTCCGTTCATCACCAAAATGTCACTAGCTGCATTCTGATTGGTCGCCGGTAGTGAAAATTTAGCGTATGGCTGGGTATTGTGGTACATAAGGAGACAGAGTTTTTTCAGGTCATGGTTTTTTTTTTTTTATTGGCGTGTAAAAATGTCACTGTGCTTATTTTTGTAGCTTTACACATATACCTGTTATTTTAACACATTCATTTGCAGTGATGGTGCATAAACATTGTATTCAACTTGTATTTGCTATATTGTAGCATAGATATTGTACCCCTCTCTCTCTCCCCTTTTCCCCCTTTCTCCTTATCTATTTCCCTCTACTCCTCTATCTTATGTTTTCATCCTCTCTCCCTCTCTCTCTCTCTCTCTCTCTCTCTCTCCCTTTTCCTTTTCTCCTTATCTATTTCCCTCTACTGCTTCCTCTATCTTCTCTGTTTTCATTCTCTCTTTCTCTTCCCCCCTTTTCCCCCCTTCCTCCTCTCCTTATCAATTTCCCTCTACTCCTCTCTCTCTCCCCTTTCCCCCCTTTCCCTTCTCTCCTTATCCATTTCCCTCTACTCCTTCCTCTATCTTCTCTGTTTTCATTCTCTCTGCCTTTCTCTCTACTCTTTCCCCCCCATCCTTCTCTCCTTATCTATTTCCCTCTACTCCTTCTTCCTCTATCTTCTCTGTTTTATTCTTTCTCTCCTGCCCCCATCTCTCTCTCTCTCCCCCTCTCTCTTTCTCTTCCCCCTTCCTTTCTTTCTCTTTCTCTCTCTCTCTCTATATCTATATAAATAAATATGTATTGCTTTAAAAATAAGGTAATAACGCATAATAATGCCATTTGGGCTAAGATTTAATAACCCCCTAACAATTTTTTTCTCTGCTGCAAACGCCATCCCTACCCTGCGTTGTAAGTCATTAGTAGAGAGAGATTATCTGCTCATCCTCAGTGATGTCTTGCCTTAATGAATGGTGTTCTCCCATATGGTGCTGCAAGCGAGGCACCCCTGGCTCTGCGTGCCTCCGCACTTGGTCATTTCTGCTTACTACCCAACATTTTTTAATGTAACCGTTGCACTTGGAAAAGGCTCTGGCCAATCACCGCCGGAGAGAAGAGAGAGGGAGAGAGAGTTTGCCACCCCTGGCTCTCTCTTTTTTGCTCTCTCCCCTATTGCAGCGCCCGTCCTTTCACTTCTCATAGCCGTAGACATGAATGTGTTTATTTGTCCTTACAGTTACTTTGATCTGCCGTTTTGTTTTTTCGCCACCAGCGATGTTGGTGGTAGCTGCGGTCCTGCCTGCCGTTGGGACGTGGCTGCCCTCATTGTTTTTTTTTTTCTGTGTTTGAGCTGATTGAGACATAATTGTTTATAAATATGCATAGGGCTGCTGTGTTTGTACTGTGGGAATAGGAATATTGGCTGCTACTGGGTTATTTTTAAAAACAAATGAATACAAATATCTTTTTGCAAAGGATCTTTCGCCCTCTGTTTGTAAATATGGATCTTGTATTCTATGTCTGCCTTTAAATATGGCATTAATAACCGTTTATGTGTTTATTATTTCTATCTATCTATCTATCTATCTATCTATCTATCTATCTATCTATCTATCTATCTATCTGTCTATCTTTCTGTTTGTCCCTTTTCTGTATCCGTCTGCCTGCCTCTCCCTCCTTTAATCCTCCTTATCTATTTTCTATCTGTCTGTCTGTCTGTCTGTCTGTCTATCTCTAGTCCACTATCTCTCTCCTTACTCTCCCTCTATATATTGTTATCATTATATTTATATAATAATTTTTGCATGCATGCTCTGTACCCACATACATGTTTAAGCAAAGGCAGCAAAACCTTTAACCCTTCAGGTACAGGAGAGACATCAGCAAAACAAGTGACGCGCCTGTCACAGGTTGGGTTAACAGCCAGAAGAGGGGTTTGGGTTGGGGGTGTTAAAAAGCAGTGAAGTGTACATTCAGCTATGAAAACGGGGAGTGATTTAGCAGAAGCGCGCAGAAACATCTAAATGCAGACAAGGCTCTACAGGAGATGGCAAAAGTGTAAAGGATTTATGCGAGCGAAAATCTGCCCGATCCCAAACGTAGCCATATGTTGAATCCGGGTCAGGTTGATCTCCTTGATCCCCTGTGGCTTCACATTGATTCGTGTTTGAGGGGCTGGATGCGCCTGTGGATATTTATTAAATGGAAAAGCGTTGTGTGTGTTTCCGGCCAGTGTTCATTTTGAATTGTTTGCTGTTTTCTAGAAATAGCTTTTTTTGATGTGGTTTTTCACACTTCGCTTTGCTTGCTGCGTCTTAGTTCATGGTCTCGTTTAATACACAGGTTTGTACTCTGTCCTCTTTGAGTTTCTTAGACAGTGCACGCTGCTGGGCACGATAAGCCACCAAGAGAGGATATTGTTTTCAGTGAAAGTCTGTTGATGGAGCTATAGACTGCCTTGGAGTTAGGGGGAGCAGTAAAGCAGGATCGTTGCACTACTAAGCAGTTTATGATCAGCAAAAAATACAGTTACATTACACCTACTCTTATTAAGCTGTATCTAAGCTCAGGAACAAATATGTCATACATTGCAGCTGCCAGTCCTTAGATGTGGTGGCTGCATTAGTTTTCTAATTTAAAGGCTTTTTTTGCTTTTTATTTTGACCTGTTGATTCCCCTGGTAACACTTCCCATCTTATTTTGACAACATGTACTCACTGTACAGTGTAAATGAAGGAGCTATGTTGTCAATAAAAGACAGGACTACAGAAAACCTTCCCTTTTCTTGATCTCCATAATTTAAAAGGGGCGGGGTTCTTCAGTCTATAGAGAGAACTGGGAACAA